AGATTCAGATATTGACGTGTGTCACAGAGTCCCGTCTTTCAAAACATCGAATAAGAATATAATTGTCCGATTCGTGCAACGCTCAAAACGAGATAAGATACTACAGAAAAGCAAAAAGCACCGATTCACGACCAAAGAAAGACCTTGACTACGGGAGGAGCAATCACCCCGTTTACCTCAACGAACACCTAACGGGTTAAAACAAAAGACTACTTGGTGCTGCCATCTCAAAAAAAAAAAAAAAAGACCGTAGGATGGAAGTTTGTGTGGTCAACAGGGGGCAAGGTCTTTGCCAGAAAAACTGAGAATGAGAACGCAATCAGGATCGCTTGCCTGTCGGATGTTGAAAAGATAGCAAACTAATCACAGTGATAGCCCTTCTGGACAATCGTAGCGATGATGACCGAAGAAACTCTCACCGACTGTAATTATTACGACTGCCTGTCATTTAACGAAAAATACAGAAGAAACGATAGGCAGTTTTTCGCAATACATTTAAATACAAGAAGTGTAAAAAATAAGGTTGACAATCTTGAAATCCTTTTACGCTCTTTACATATAGAATTCGATGTAATCGCACTCACAGAAACTTGGCTAAAAAGCGAGGATTTGCCACCACTTCTGCGTGGTTATAGATGTGAAAATGTGTGCAGAGTTAACAAAAGGGGGGGCGGTATAGCCATTTATGTAAAAGATAACCTACAATATCAGATTATAGAAGATTTAACAACAATAAATGATGATGTAGAAAGTTTTATTGTTAAGTTCCCACATATTGTAGTCGCAGCTGTGTATAGGCCGCCAAACGGCAACGTGCTTCCATTTATGTCATTCATTGAAAACTTATTTTGTGCTCTAGGGCCTAACCTACCATTTATGATTCTTGGTGATGTGAATATAGACTCTGCTTTGGATGACGGACATGCAAGAGAATTCAGAGATCTTATTCAACAATACGCCTGTAACAACGCCATAACGTTGCCTACTAGGGTTACCTCAGCCACTGCGACATCACTTGACGCTTGTCTAACAAACATAGAATGTAACCAGATCTCAGCTGGCGTTATCTTGCACGACATAAGCGACCATTTGCCTATCTTCTGCATTGCAACTCTTTCAACCGTGAAAGGTAATCTAAATAAAGAAAAACGTTATCACCGCAAAATAAACGAAGAAACGCTAAGAATTTTTGGTTACTTAATAGATCAAGAAAACTGGGAAGACGTTTATAATGAACATGATCCGACAAAATCCTATAATTACTTCCTGTCTAAATTCTAACGCTGTTATTATATAGCATTTCCTCTATGTGAAACTAAAACAAAGCCTAAAAAGATCAGAAAACCGTGGAAAACAAATGATTTATATAAAAGAATAAAAATAAAAGACCGCAAGTACTATGCCTTCATACATCATCGTGATCTAAGTTTACTGTCTGAGTTTAAAAAAATTTAGAAACAAGTTGAACTCTGACTTAAAACAAGCAAAATGTGAGTATTATAAAAATAAATTTCAGCATATTCACAGTGACCATCGAAAAGTTTGGAATATAGTAAACGATTTAACAAACAAAAAGCAAAAACGCTGTAGTGTCACGGAACTGATAATCGATAATGTAAGTGTGGCAGGGAAAGAGCTCGCAGACGCAATGAATTCGCATTTTATCGATATCGGCACGTGCGCGGCTAAAAACACAACTAATGATGTCTGTGGAAGATAAAAAAAAAAATCAACGAAATTCGATTATGCTTGCTCCAATGACTTATGAAGAAATTTACAAAATAATAAATAGTTTAGATAACAATGTGGCTGCAGGTGAGGATGGAATTAAGGCTTTACCAATTAAATACACAGCTTGCATAGTAAGTCCAGTATTATCGAATATAATAAATAAGATGCTAGATACTGGTGAGTTCCCTGATGAGCTAAAAATTGCAAAAGTCATTTCTGTGTATAAGGGCGGAGGAGAAACTGCAGTTAATAATTACAGGCCGATATTTGTTCTCTCTGTGTTTTCAAAGATATTTGAGCGTTATCAATGAGAGGCAAAATAATTTTTTTCAAAAATTTCAAATGATTTCTAAGTTCCAGTATGAATTCCAGAAAACCAAGTCTGCCAAATCAGCCCAGATTGAAATAAAAAATAAAATAGTTGAGAATATTGAGAGAAAAATTGTCACTCTAGGTTTATTTTTAGATCTAAAGAAAGCTTTCGACACCGTACAGCACGGTATTTTACTTAGAAAACCTAAAATGTACGGAGTACGTGGTGTGGCGTTAAAATTAATTAAAAAATATCTCACAAATCGGTACCAATACGTGTGCGTAAATGATACGATATGCAGTAAAATAAAAATACGTTACGGGGTTCCTCAGGGTTCTATTTTTGGGCCGACGCTATTTCTAGTATGTATAAATGATGTAACGGATATACCAGGTTGCCCCGAGATGACAATGTATGCAGATGACACAAGTGTGTTTTTTCCAGGTTTAACAAAAAAGAGTGTAGACAAATTAGCCAATGAATATCTTACAAAACTATCCAAATGGTTACAAGTAAATAGTTGAAGCCTCAATACCAATAAAACTAAGTATCTGATTTTTAAGCCAACGTGCAACCGAGATGACAGCATTACAAACATCACATTTGAAGGCCCGGTACTTGAGCAGGTGGTTGAACAAAAATTTCTAGGTGTTTGGTTCACTGAGGACCTTTCTTGGAATACGCACGTCAGCAAACTAAAAGCCTACTTGTCCCGAGTTACAGGCATTATTTATAAAATTCAAAATCTAATTGCTGCCTGGCTTAAACTAACGTTATATTACTCCCTATTTTATTCGAGGATCAGTTACGGCATCATGGTGTGGGGTACAACAACAGCTACAAACTACAATAAACTAATCATTTTACAAAAAAAGATACTACGGATATGTGAAAATTATTGAGACAACATAAGGATTTTAAGAACGCAGCCACTCTTTATCAAGTATAATATTCTTAAGGCAAATCAAATTGATTATTTCAAACTGTTGCAAATGATACATAGAAATAGGCTCCACTCGACGCCCCATTACCAGTTCTAATCCATACTTATTACGGAACCCAATTCGAAAAACACCATACGTGAGAACAAACTATGGTCGACAAGCATCACATTTTAAGATCACTAAAATGCTTAATAGAACAGATATCAACATAAACTTTGACCAGCCGTTTGGTAGTTTCAAACAGTTTTGCAGTAAAATTCTAGTGGCAAGTGACGTAGCATTTTCTTTGGTATAATTTTTTTTCTGGGTGTAACGTTGTGCACTTTTTTTCTGTAGTTCAAATTTGCATTGCAGTATCTGTTTGACCTTGTGAATATTGTGTTATTTGCCCATAAACAGAGTGTGCAGATGTTCTTGTTTTTATCTTCAAGGAATTGTTTGACCTGTTTTTGTGAACGCTTCATTTCGTGTTTATTAATGATATCATCAATTGTGTTATCTGTGAAAAGCGTTGTTTTATCTCGTTACAGCGGTTATTTTTTTTTTGTTCGATTGTAACTTTTGTTGCTCCATGTTGAACTGCACGATTGGGGGGGAGGGGGGGCATAGGCTATGTCAGGCATTGTGCCTTTATCTTTGCCCCCTCTGCGGAAACAACTCCGCAAAACAAATAAAGAAAAAAAATATATTCTATTGGCTTGGCGACGGCAAAACAATGTTTCCGCTCATACTGTAAGGTCCATAGACTGAGTGAGAAAGGCAAACACATTGGGAACGTGGCAGCGCCGCAGTGGGCCTATGTAGATTGCAGGGTGGTTTCAACTGCTCGATCAGTGTCGCGTGGTTTAAAGGCCGCTTTCGCAATGCGAGCTGCGAGGAGGTAATGATAGCGTTGATCGTCTGCATGGGTCTCTGCCTCTACGTCCGCTTGTCTTCTTTATCCGTGACAACGCAACGCATGCGCACTTGCGATCCATTTGTCCAGGAGCTTCAGGAGGCATCCGCCATTAGATGATAAACTGTCTTTATAGTTTCAGTTGTTCCGTCTCTTAAATCTATGGTCGTCACTTTGGTTCATGGAATGAGAAGTTTCTCCCTGACCTCTTCATTCTTGGTGAGGTGAACCGAATTTGCGGTGACAGGTTGCTTAATAAGCGCATTTTATGTATACCCAGATGTTGTTATCCCGACAGCGGCAAAACAAGCAAACATCTTCGCATCGCCATCATATGCGGCGCTGGTGCTCGGCGGCATTGAAAAATGAAATTCGTGTGTTGAAATATGCATGAAGAACAATACGAGGTTTGTGACGATGAGCATGGTTGACAAGTTGATTGCATATACAGCGCCAAAAACGTTCATATTCAAAAGGAACGTTTCCAGTACAATGACACTTTATAGCGATCTTGGCGCGGCTGGTTCAGAACGGCCGTTTCAGAGCTTTTAACATTTGAAAGGACCTAAATGGCGAATGCAATGGCAACAGAGAGTGATCAGCCAATCGCCTTCCGAGGTTTTGGTCGTGTGTATCTTAGTGTCTCTTTGTGTCCGGCAAGCAGCCAGTGAAGGCAATGGCGCTACTTTCGCAGGATGCCATGACTTTACACCTGGACACTCCACAGAGCAAAGAGGAGCAGCGCGGAAACTGAGCACGCCTAATGTAGCGAATGATTTGTTTTTTCTCTCCTATTCTGTCGCTCTTTCTTGTGCTCCTTCTCTGGGGTAGTCCGGAGTGCGTTGACTTAACTGAGCAGAGCACCGCCGAATATCTGAACACGTGAAGTTTTCCCCCCTCCCTCCTCCCCCCCCCCCCCCCGGGAGTAACAGAGAGGTCTCTATGGAAGGAGATTAGCTGATAGTCGGACTGTGAACATCCGTTTCTGGCACATAACCAGATAATATTAGGTGCCAGCCATACAACGCATTTTTTGTTGAAGAGATGTTTGCAAATTATTGTATCGAAAATAAATGTTTTGCCTAGGGTTCAAACAACTACGGTATTTGTCACTTACCCCGAAATTCGCGAAAGAGCACATAATGTCTCCACCTTTTATAACAAAATATAAGCACACAAGTCCGTCAAATTCTGTCGAAGACATCCCTGAAATGGAAGTTTGTTAAAAGTGTGCCAAATACACTTCCTTAGCAAGGATTACCATACATCACACAATGATTACGGAATTGACCGACCTCACCAAACAGTTCGACTATGTTACCGCTGTCGCAATACATCGAAGGAACTTTCGACTTTCTGCAAGTGGGCCAAAAAATAATTGGTGTTGTGCAGGTATTTATACAGCGTGTAGTTGGTCAGCCATTTCAAAGTTGCGACGAGTCACCCTTGCTGGAGCTCTGTGCGTGTAGAGCACGAAACGGCATGAGCCGTCTCGTGCACTTGCGACTGCCTCCTGTGAACTAAAGTTATGGCAAGGGGGATCAGGGGGATCGGAGTCCGAGTGGGCTAGCGCACACCAGCTCGGAGCACGTGGAGCGAAAGCTCGCGCTGCAGATCCCAGGGATCCTCGGCTCAGTCCCCACCCCTGCCCGTTTCGATCTGAATGACCATGATTCGTACCGGCGTGTGGTTGTGTATCGCTACTGCGTGATGCACGTTAAAGACCAGAGGCTAGCGGTTGTACTGTAAAAGCTTGGTCTGCTGGGCAAGTTGGTAATTGACATTCATATCAAAAATAGCGCAAAAAAAAAACAAAAAAAACTTGTGGTTACTTCCCCATGCTGGACAGTGCGCAGGTAGAGGGACGCAACAAAGAAATGTTAGAAACAGAGTTGCTGGAGGCGGAAAATATACATGCTTGCGACAAAGACGTTTGCATCAGCGTCGCATCGGTGTTTATGCAACCGAAAGAGTACAGTTTCATTAACACTATCTAACTTGTACATATTAACACGGCGTTTTTTCCTTTCATCGTTCGGATTGTGCAGCGGGGTGACGCGCGTGCACGGCGATAGCAGAGTTGGAAGCATCCAATAAACTTCAGTTGTCAGTTAGCGCTCGTCCTGTCTGCTTCTTCGTCTTTTTTCCCAGTCTTTTTTGCGCTATTTTTAATACGGTCGTACTGCACTGGCTCACTTTCTCATCTACAGCTGGGAGACTCGTCGCCCGTTGAGGCAGACCAAGTTCTTGGCTGAATAAACAGTCACAACCCAATTTTGTTCAAAGTTATGGCGCCGTTACGCATGCTCCAAATGTTTGGTGAGATCGCTCTGTTGGCGCTAATCAAGGCTGTCTCATATTTAAAAAAATGAAAGCCGTTTACAACTCCCGGTAACGCCGAATTAGAGTGCAGCTCTTGAGGAGGAGGAGGGGAAGGTACGGAGAGGAAGCTATGCCCCTCATCCTCTCCTGCTCGCCACCGTTTTGGCGAAAAGTTTCCGCTAAATTTAGCGGGAAAAGTTCCCCGCTAAAATTAGCGGGGAAAATTTTCCGTTAGATTTAGCGGGGAATGTTTTCCGCTAAACTTAGCGGGAAAATTTTCCGCTAAATTTAGCGGGCAAAATTTTCCGCTAAATTTAGCGGGGAAATTTACCCGTCATGCATCACGCGGTTACGCCGACGCCGCTCAAGCCGGAAACGGGCGCCTAAGAGCTGCGCTCTAAAACGTAGGAAAGATTAAATCGCCGATGAAGTCGAATTCGATTTTCTGGGTTTTGTCATCATCAGCCTCCATTCGCCTCGAGACCCGGATTGAATTTAGGGAAAGCGTGCTTTTGTTTACCCATGGTTTTCTATCAGTCACGTGGTGATTCCCCCTGTCCACAATGCGGGTGGAGACAAAGCGTCCATACTAACGGCGCAGATAGGGTGACCACCTTCCTGCTGGCGAAACGCGGAACACCCTGACCGGGGGCGGGGGGAGGGGGGAGGGAAAAGGGGGGGTAGAGGAGGATGGTATTTTCACGACTGAAGGAAGAAAGTATTAAAGGTATGGTGTACTAGAAGACTGGGCAGTGTAGCGAGCGCCGGCGGAAGGGGGGCTCTTTTTGCGATGACCGGATCGGTGGCCGCGAGAGGGCGCAACGTGTAGTAGGCGTGCTGCCGGAGTGCGGAGCGCAGGCAGCGGTAGCGCTTGGCTGGCTTGGCGTTCCGCACGAGTTCGATTGTTTCATATTGTTTGGCTAACTCTTTACGGTATTCTTTATTTCTGCTGTTTCACATATTATTTATCGCACTAATTCGTTGCCAAATGCTTTGCCCGAGACGTGCATCTTCGGGCAGGACGCCACAGTACACATCCCGACACTGCTAGCGCGAACAAAACATTGGCGCTTTCTCGGATTTACTTCGAAAGAGTATTAGTGAGGACGAACTTTTATCACCTGCATTAGAGACCCGAATGAGCTTTCTCCCCAGCAATTAGAACTTTGCTGACATACTTTGGTTTCTCATAGAAAAACCGGCGATCGCTTGTTCGCGCTAACAATGTTGCGTTCTGAATAGGCAGGAAATCCATCCCCCAGGAAAACGTTCGGGAAGTCTCTTGAAAGAGACGTCCCAAACGTGTGTAATCCCCTGGATAACGTAGGATAAGCATGCTTATGGCATGATACCTAAACAAATATGTGCTTTTGTGACCCTATAATTTCGCTGTCACTGTAGTTGTGATCAATGAATTCCGTGGTTGAAGCGCACTACCCTAATGAATTGTTCCAGTGTTTGGGAAAACAAAATGGGGCTTACAAAACGGATTATAACGTCTACTTCCGTAGGCTGCATGGAGGTGCTACCTTCGACTCTCGCAACTACTTCCACGGGCTTTCGAAGGAATTTCCAGCACTAGCCTTTATCGTGTTTGCTGTTACTGCGTAGGGTCTTCAAACAGGACTGTGCGAAGTTAGAATAATAATAATAATAATAATAATTCCTTTATTTTTCCAACAAAAAGTTGAAAGGCGACTAAGGAAAAAAGCTGTAAAAACAGCTTGACTGGCCCTTAGCCACCCCAAACAAGCAGTCGCAAAGCAGGCACCAGAGGAATTATACAATGAAACTTTACAAATTCATAAACAAAAATGAAAAATCATTACACAAAAGAAACAGCGAATGTATCCACTCAACCATCTCTGGTAGTAACCACAGTGGATAAATTCTTATTTATCCACTGAGCACCAGCTATATATTGATATGTGTGGGCACCAGGGCGCACAGATAAATTTTTAATTATACACTGGGCACCAGCGCACTGATGAGATTAATGAGGTGCACCCAAGGATTCCGGAGGCGACGGTATTTTCCCAAAAGCTCGGGAAAGGGGGGCTCCCGAGCTCCCCCGTAGTCGGCGTCTGTGGCGTTTTGTACCTCTACATCAGGGGTCTCAAACTCATTCGAGTGTGGGGCCCAGATTGCTCTCCCCCGAAAGGGCAAGGGGCCAACGCAGAACCCCCCCCCCCCCCCCCCCCCCCTCTTCGTTGGCTCCCGTTTTTTCGGGGCAATGTTTTGCTATTCTGTAATAAAAATATAAACAAACAATCAGCGGTGTTGTTTCACGCTGCAAACGTCAACTGTAACAGTAACACCCCTAGAGATTTTCTAGAGAAGGAACCTTATGCTTTCCGCTTTTTGTAAGCTCCAACGTTTTGCCATCTTTAGCTTTCATTTGCATATACAACTACTTTGGGACAACTCCTGGGGCCGCTTGCTAGAAAGTCTTGACTCAAGTCTTGGCTCAAGTCTTGACTCAGGCGCCTGGCGGTCTCGGCTGAGACCGTGACTGAGACCAAGACGGATCCAGCACGGACTCAGGCGCGGTCTTGACTCAAGTCCGGACTTGAGTCTGGCACCCAGACCGCCAAGAACGGAGTGAGCAGTACCTAGAGAGGGAATCTAGGGAAAACTGAAGAAATACCGGAGAAAACAGAGGGTGCGTTCCAAATCTACTCGAGTGGATCCGAGTTACCCTGGCAGATCATGTCACGTGACAACAAAAAATCGAGTAATGCCGGATTCGGGTAGGTTTTCGATCGCAAAGGTACAAAACCTTTACCCTAGAGTGAGACCGAGTAAATTTTGGAACACGGCCGAAGATTCCGGACGTGGAAGTGACGAGTTGTGACCTCCTGTCCAATAAGAAAGCGCCGGCGACGCGAGGCGGCAAGCGAGAGATCGTCTGCTTCTGCTACGCTGCGATCGGTTTGGGCAAAGAGAAACGACGACAGTCGCAAAACTGCGGCACATGTCTCGTACATACCGTGGTTCCGTGCAAAATAGAAGAAAGAAAAAAAAAAGAGTCAGCGATGCGCGGTTTTGGGTAGAGTTTAGTGCGCACCAACGCTGTCATATTGCTTCGTATCGCGATCGTCTGTCACCACCGTCGTCGACGTCCAGTGCGTACGCCGAATAAAGTTGTTTACATAAATGCCTGCGTGTCCTTAACGCCCAATTTTTTAAGAAAAAAACATGCGCTGGACGTATTTTCTCTGAAGCATTTGCAATAAAAGTTGATAATTATGTTTCGATCATTAAGTTAGCAGACGACCGTCTGAGTTTGCTGCACGCAGACATGGATGTTGCCGGTCCATCACGGATGCCTCCCAAGGTAAAGAAATCAAATTGGTCCGAAGATGATAAGTTTCAATTGGTTTACGAAATCGAGAAACGAAAACGTATAATTAAGAACAAATTTAACAACAATATTACAAAAGCTGCTAAAAGAAAAGCGTGGCAGGAGATCGCATCCGTGATGAATTCGCGGCATCCATCGACGCTGCGCACTGTGCCGCAACTCAAAAAGCAGTGGCAGAACCTCAAATCTCGCAGCCGCGCGGAACTGACCCTCTCGAAGAAAGCACACTCCACGACCGGTGAGTTTACTATACATATGTTTTTACTACACATAAAAATGAAGCACACATTCTGTGTGCTAAGGAAGTTTTTTATCCACTTTCTCATTTTCTTGGCTAAATTATAGAAGAAATTAAGATATCAAGCTATTAATACAATCAAATCAAAACAATGAATGTGCTTGCTGCAATCAGATAAAATTTAATGCTCAAACAAAATATAGAGAGAACCTTGTCTTCCACAGGCGCAGGGCGCAACGACCACACGCTGACACCGCTGGCTGAGGCTGTGCTGGCGGTCATCGGTTCCACAAGCCCCAACCTTCTGGGTATCGAAGGAGGCGTAGACACCGACGAGTGAGCTGTCATGTTACTGCTATTTGTACGAAGTCTAGCCTTTCGAGATTCACACGATTGGGGGTTCTACTAGCAAAGCTCATATTGTATTCATAATCATATCTGAAGTTTGCAAGTACTAAATACTGGGCCACTCAAAGAAATGCTCTGGTGTGTTCTCTCCAGAGCAAGAAAGAACCGTGCACATCCAAGAACTCTAAAACTTCGAGCCATGTTACCTGAAGTTAAAGTCGAGCTAGGCATGTCAATGAAAGACCACTGCGCTCATCAATGATGATCATAAAAATAATATAAACAACAATAATAATAATAGTAATTATTGGATTAGGAGAGCCACGGCACTCGTAACCCGTGCAAAGTACGCCCGCAATGCCACATCTTCTGATGGTGATTATGTGATGATGTAAGATCACGACCTAATCTTGTGAGATGCAAGATTAAAATGATGGTGATTATGAGCCGACATGTACATGGGCAGGACGACGCAGTCTTCTGAACATCGCAAGCGCCGTTGGCCGAGTCTTGAAAGTTTGGGAAAGAAAAATGATATCAGACTTAGGCTGGTACACTGCTGAAATGGTAGAAGGTATATCTTAAAAAGGTATCATGCAATCCGAACAAGACAAAGGGGATTGTGTTTCTACTACACTACCATTACAAAATACATTATACTCTCATGATTTCAAACTCCAGGAAGCCATGAATTTTGTTTGATTTATCAGAAATTTATCTAAATAATGATGCAAGATAAATATATGATTTGCCTTATGAGTGGCTTCACATACACAGAAGATATTTCATGCTTTCCTTTACATAGGCCTACTGATCATAACCAGGTATGCTACACATGAAACATTCGTGAAATGTAAGACAAAAGTTTATTTATCCCTCAAAAATGTTCATTGTTGTGGGCTGTTCAAAGAGCACATGACAACTCAAAACGAAATTCAGTTTGTTCATCGGGTCAAGAAGTTGTCTAGTGTGAACTATTAAACGGGGGACACGTGAACAATAAAAGCGGGCACTGCACCACAGTTTTCATAGCAACTTGTGAGGACGTTGTGACTTGCCCATGCTATGCCACTTAAATTCAATGCCGTTGTCCTGTAATTCATATTTTTTGTTCTTGCAGCCCTTTTGTTTAGTACACATCTTTCTGAGCATCGGTGCACTGCAGAGGGAACACCCATGGATCTGTTGCTTCTCCGCAATGTGCCGGCGCTCGGTGTACGCCATGCTACCAGATCACAGCGTCTGCGCAAGTTGCTGCAGAAATTTCCGCATGAGCCCCGTTGAGTGCGCTTATCACCGAGCACCGGTGCATTGCAAAGAAGCAACAGCTCCATGGGTGTTCCCTCTGCAGTGTACCGGTGCTCGGAAAGAAGCACACTCAACAAAAGGGCTGCAAGAACAAAAAATATGAATTGCAGGAAAACGGAATTCGGTTTAAGTGGCATATGGATACACTAAGAACATGGCGAGACAACCAAACTTAGGAAATTTGTTTGAATTAACCAGAAGTATAATATCCGAGTTTGAATTATCGCAAGACTACCGTATACAGGCTAGACTTTTATGAAGTCAAGCTGAACTATGACAAACAGCAAAAAAATATATTGTTTTATGTTGAAAATTCTACTGCTACGTAGACCCAAAGGTCACAAACACAAAGCTTGGACCTCATTTGCTTCAGGTCCGTTGTATTGAGATGGCAAGTCAAATGAATGAAGGCACAAAGCTGAGACAGTCTGTTGCATAAACATATTTGTGCGAGATTAGTGCTCTGAAATCTCGCTCATTTCGTAGGTAGCATTCACTGTCACAGCTGAGTTCGCTGCTGCTGAGCATATGCTGACGTCAAGCTCTTGCAACACTTCCAACATGCACATTGCATACCATGAGGAATGTCTTTTCTGAAATAAAACCACCTTGAAAGAATGAACAGTATTGATAAATAAAAGAAATTAGAAGTAATCCTGAGCAGTCAGTTCAAATATGGTGTACAGTGAGTACAATATATTAAGCACCGACCAGTAGACACTACCACTAAATTTGGAATCACCCTGAGCAGATCTGTTGCTCAACATGGTAGTCTTTGACATAAAACAGAATTGTAGGGACAAGCAACCAGAAATATCTGGCCGGCATCAACACTGCACACTGGATCTCCATGAAGCCAGCTGTTTTCACAACTAATAGCCGCAACAGTCAAGATCGGGCTTGACCTGCACACTGTAGGCTGGCTTTACTAAAGCCCACATGCTTTCACAACTAATAGCAGCAATGGCCGAGAGCTGAGGAGTCGAGCTTGATCCACATGCACACAAAAAGCATGAATGAAATACAAATAAGAGTGTTTCAAATTATGTACAAGGGTGACAAGACTGACATTCTGGTGTATTTTCCTTAGGGCCAGCACAGCACCAGTCAGCGTGCAGCCAATTACTGATGAGGAGGTTGGAGAGGACAGAGTCCTGAACTACGAAGTTGAAGTGGACCCCGGGGTCGCATTCCTTGAGGTGCCGGAGTCCGAAGAAACGCAGGACTACGAGCCTCCGGACTGGCCGATGGACGAGGATGAGGCACCCGTGGAGCCTGGTGCAGCAGCTGCGCTGCTACGTCGGGAGGGGCCTCCTCCTGTGGCAGGGGGACCGCCTGAGGCAGCAGCTGCTGCTGAAGGGCGACCGGCACCACTGGGCCGGCAGGGACCACCTCGTTCACGACCGGTCTGGAGGCCCAGCGCACCACCCGCAGGCTCGGCAGCCAGCACACGGGCTGCAGACAAACAGTTTTATAGGGACATCATGGAGCAACAACACGAGAACGTAAAGTTAGAACGGCAGTGCCTCCTTGCCAAACTGAAGGCGACGGAAGAGCAGGCAAGCGCAGCAAGGGCAGCCTGCGAGGCTGCCGAAATGATGAAAAAGGCTGCAAACTTTTATATTGAACAGGGAGAAAAAATTTTCATGTTACTTGGGAAGGCCCTACAACAAGACCCTTAAAGGGGAGGAGGGGCCTTCAGTTTGGCAAAGAGGCACTGCCGTTTTAGCTTTACTTTGTAAATACAATAAACAGTTTTTTTTTGGTTAGTTCTCTTCAATGTCTTTTTGGTTCCAAGTATGCAAAAAAATTCCACTGCATTATGTATTTCATTTAGCAACATGAAAAACTAAAGAAATGATGCATCATAAAAAAATGCAACGACTTTTACACACTCAGCTAAGTAAAAGTGAAAGTCATTAGTGTAATAAACACGCGTAAAGACCGCACCCGCAAAAAAAAATGTTTGCCTTGCGCACCATTGCATTTGTACAGGCCTGAGCGATGTCACCGCCGACGTGGCATGCAGTCAGCATCAAAGCTTTTTTTTCCTTTGCAATCCTTACAATCATCTCCCTTCTTGCTGCCTTTGTCGAATTTGCTTAAGGCACATTCAGCCAAAACACCTAACTATTCATCTCCCTTTTTATGTTTGAGCAACCTTCATCTATGATCCACAGACGTCAAAGCCGAGTGGGAACGACAACGAAAGAAAGTACAAACTTCAGGTCCAAAATGGAAGCGCAGCGGCGTAAAGGCCCATACACACAGTTTCGTTTCAGTGCGTTTGACTGCACTGTATCGAAAAGTAGCCACAACTCCTTGGGCTGCCTGTGGTTCATATAAAACAAAGCAACTAACTTGCTTATCAGACGGCAAACAAACGGGGGCCCCGCACCATGCTGGTGATTGACTTCCCACCACATGGAAGCACTTACCAAGGCATAGGATGCCACAAATTGCCCGGACATGCACTGATGTGCACCATATTTTCTACAAAACTACCTGGTTTTTGGCATGCGAACTTGAAAAACTGTGCCAAACTTACGATGACGACATTCAACCAGCCTGTACAAGATATTTCGGCGTTGCTAAAGTGTGCTACGAGCAGAAAGTTCCCATATGCCACCGACAAAGTTTTGATGCGAAACGCTATTGTGTCGGAAGAACAAATTTAAATATGCGGTTCAAGGCACAACTGGAATCCTGCAATTATTTGACCAGCGGCTCTAGACGCCACTCATAGTAAAGTTATGAGTTAGTGAAGTATTGATAAACAATGCAAGGATCCATATGTCATGGACCGCAAAGGCCGATGTTTCGGTGGCAGCGTTTCAGCGAGCATGCATTTGGGGGCCACTGCCGACTGATCACTGCCTGGCCGAGCTCGCGGCGAGGCATGCTTCCCGTACTCGGCGAGGAGGCCCCGAAGGTGCGCTCAAAACATGGAAACTACATCATGAAGATAAAGGCAAAGGGCATCGTTATCACGAACAGGCAAGGCTGATGCAAAGAGTGTGTGAACATAAATGTTAAAAAGTGTTGTCAATGCACCGCCACGAAGAGTCCTGCCAACTGTGCAGCCGCACAGTTGGCAGGACTCGGCAGGACTCGTTCCGATGTGGGGCCGCAGCCCTCCTCTGCCACTCGGACTTTCTTTTCTTTGACGGTTACTCTGTTGCGGGGCGACTCAATGAAACTATCGCCGCGATACATAGCAAGTGCTACAGCTGAATCAGGCGCATTTTACCATAGCTCTCGCTGCAAATGGCCGTCGCCTCAACCACCAGTATACAGTCGACTACAGACATAATGGTTGTAATCACATTCTGCTTGTACAGTGGCGTCGAAACGAAATAGGGGGGCGGGGGAGAGACTGCCCCCCCGACAGGTCAGAAATTTAATGGAAAAGATATGGGGGAGGAGTGCAAACTTGCCCTTCCCCCCCACCACTGTCGCCCTCCCCATCTGCTGAATGGTCCTGATGTCTCTGTGCTTGTAATCACCCATTTTTTCTGACAAAAACTTTTACTTCAGTGTCCTATTCGAAAGTTTCTGGCAATAGCCACAGTTTCAACAGACTGTTCATGGTGACTGTTGTGTGTAGAGTGGTGGCACCATCGGGGACACGGACCGCAATCCTAGAAGATTACGCCACACCGCGGAAAAAATGCAACGCACGCAGTCAACGGCCAACGCCAGCCAGTGAAACTATCATGTCTTCATTACGTAGCCTTTGTATCTTGAGTCAATAAATAGTTCATGTTATCCGGTCATCATCTACTGGCCAGGATCTATCATGTGGTGATGAGGATAAGATTGCATAGAGACTGCCGCACTCTACGGCCCCACATCGGAACGTACAGGTGAGGCAGAAGGTTTGTGAACATCGCCCTTTGTTCGGGTACCCCCCTTGTACCCTCGACAAGAAATGGCGACCCTGGGACAGATAGGAGAATTCAACCCTGCGTTTCCGGAGAAGTGGGATGCCTACAAGGCAAGATTGAACTTCCACCTCGAGGCAAACGATATCACCAACCCAACCAGAAAACGTGCTGTTTTTTTTTTTTTAGTGTTTGCGGTGCTGCCACTTTTGACTTAGTACAGTCACTATAGTATACTCGCGTTGGCAACTCCCAAAACGAAGACCTTCAGCCAACCGTCGGAGATTGTACGCCAGAATGCCTTTACCGGCGGAATCAGGGTCCCGAGAAGTCTGTGGCCTTATTCATTGTGGAACTACGGCAGTTGTCACAAAACTGCAACTTTCCAAATCTCACGGAAACACTGCGAGATCTACTCGTGTGTGACCTGAGGAATGAAACTCTTGAAGCTCGACTTTTCGCAAAAAAAAAACTCTCGTTCAAGATCGCTCAGGAAGAAGTGCTGGCAGCTGAAGCGGCGGCTCAAAGCACCACGATGTGAGGGGAGGAGAACCAACTGTGGCAACCAACGTTGCCATACATCAGGACTAAGAGGAAGGAGAAAACACGCTTAGGCAACCGACAAGGAAACAGTATACCACGGGAAAACAAAGCCTTGCAATGGGTGCAGAGGAACTCACGCACGGGAGTATTGTCAATTTAAGGATGCCCAGAGTCACTTATGCAGAAAAATCGGCCGCATCGACTGTGTGTGTCGCATGAAACAATGAGCGCAGAGCGGGCCATGGGAACAAGAGGATCCAAAACCATGGCGAACGTTCTGAACTTGAACACACAATCTGATGATGTGTACGATACTAACCAACTGGCCCCGCCACAGGCATCGCAGACACGTAAGCACCGGACGTCGGCAATGATGGAAGTTGACTAGGGGTCAGAGTTATCGATCATCCCAGAACAAACAAATGAGGTCATGAAGAAGATGCTGCACCGGGTGAGCCATTTCAATCGCAAGTCAGATTTCCATTGCAATACGGTGCAGATCAAGGGGGTGTATAAGGTCCATGTCAAGCACAGCAGTTTCGAAGGAGACCAGAAACTGCCAGTAACACAGGGACAGTGGACAACCCTCCTTGGCATGGACTGGTTTAAACCATTGGGAATCAGGCTGCTAGGGGTAAATAAGGTCACAGGGCTGTCTATTGAAGGTGTGCTTGCAAAGTATGATGGCGTTTTTGGGTAAAAGATTGAGAAGTTTGAGGGACCCCCAGTATCGCAGCACCTTGACTTTACAATGATGCCAATCCGCATGAAACCCTAGCAAATGCGCTTTGCGCTCACGCTTAAAATTGACGCTGAACTTGATTGCTTTATTGAACAAGGCATTTTCGAGCCGGTCATGCAACCAAAGTGGGAGACCCCGATTGTGACGCCCATGAAGGCAACTGGAAACATTAGAATATGCGGCGCCTACAAGTGCACTTTCAACAAGGCACTGGCTCAACACCCGTACCTGATCCCCATGGTACAGCACCTCCTGACATCACTCTCGGGGGGGGGAGGCTGTTTGAAAAACTGGATTTGGCAGAAGCTTACCAGCAGCTGGTGGTTGATGAAGAAGCGGCGGAGGCACAAACCATCACAACCCATCGAGGAGCATTTCGAGTGAAGTGGCTACGGTTTGGAGTAAATGTTGCTCTTGGGATCTTTCAGAGCTTCATGGACGACCTCCTGAAGGGGATCACCGGGGTTGTGTCATAATTCGATAACGTTCTAATTGCTGCAAGCACCAAAGAAGAGTTGGCAGGCCACCTCGAGGAAGTCCTGCACCGTCTTGCTGATGCTGGACTCAGGGTAAGAAGTGAAAAGTGCCATTTTGAAGTGTCGCAGCTCGAGTTCCTGGGATTTCTTATTGACGAGACGGGTGTGCACCCAACAAAAGAAAAGGTGAAGGCGATTCATGAGGCACCAGTACCAACAAGCAAACAGGAGCTACAGGCTTTCCTAAGACTGCTAAACTTCTATTGCATCTTTCTACGAAAAAGGCAGCAGTGGCCGAGCCACTACGTCAGCTACTTGACAAAGAGGCACGGTGGGAGTGGACGCCTCTTCATGAACAAGTTTTCAACGAACGCAAGCAGCTGCTGTCCTCAGCAAGTGTGCTGCACCATTATGATGAAACAAAGCCCTTTGTGCACACTTGTGATGCCTCGCCATAAGACATACATTAAAGCTGTACTTGGCCGTCGACCGCAAGATGACAAAGAGGTCCCCGTCGCATTTTACTCCCGCACATTGACATCTACCAAGCCAAACTATGTTCAAATCAACAAAGAAGCCTTTGCAGTGCTGGCAAGCGTAAAGAAGTTCCATGACTACACGTATTGCCTTCGAGATCAACACCACAAACCACCTTTGGGACTGTTCATACCTGCAAAGCAAATGCCATACATCTTGTCTCCACGAATGTTGCGTTGAACGATCCTACAGAATGCTTATAACTACAGTTTGGATCATTGACCTCGGAAGGACATACAACATGCCGATGCATTTAGTTGCCTCTCACTTACCATTCCAGAGTTTGTGGTGCCACCTCCTCTAGAAGTTTTGTTTCTGGAGAACACATCCAATCCACCGCTCCACGCCAAGGACGGCGCACAAATGACAGCAAAGAACACCGTTTGAAGGGTTCTCAACTGGGCTCTGAAGGGTTAGCTGCCAGGCGGCCTTGAGGCAAATTTCCAGCCATTCAAGATTCGACAACATGAGATGCCGGTTCACAAAGGATGTATACTTTGGGGGAACAGGGTCGTAATTCCCCCAGAAGGCCGGAAGGTGTTGCTGGAGGCCCTCCATGTCGGACATCCTGGCATCGACCAAATGAAGGCTCTGGCTCGCAGCTATGTGTGGTGGCCCAAGATGGACAGAAGCATAGAAGAGCATGTGATCAAGTGCATGGCATGCCAAGAGTCACGACCTGCACCTCCTCGTGCCTCAGTAGACGCATGAAATGCAACTCCAGCACCGTGGTCTCGGATGACGGGGCTCAGTTCACCTCCGAAGAATTCCGCACATTCTTGAAAGCCGGTCTCATCAGACACATCACGTCAGCACCCTTCCACCCGTCAACTAACGGACAAGCAGAGCGCATGGTGCACACAACGAAAGATTCGCTACAGCATATTGTAAAAGGGAACATGAGGGCAGCATCTGACCAGTTTTCTGCTACAGGAGCATGTAACACCATGCATGATGACAGGCAAGAGCCCAGTGGATATGCTGATGAACAGGAGGTCGAAGACAATACTTGACCGACTGCACCCAGACCTGACTGAGAGCATGAGGAAGGGAGCTGATGAAAATTCCAGCGAAGGAGCCCAACCGAAGTCACGAATATTTCGAACAGAAGACCCAGTATTCATATGCAGCTACAGCAGTGGCCCTTCATGGATACTGGCGACAGTGGTTGAAATGACGGGTCCAGTTTCCTACAAAACCCGCACCCAGGAGGGCATTATCATGCGACGTTCTGTCGACACGGTGTGTAGGAGCGGTGCATTGAGAGTTGCAACAGACAGCATCAGCCATGGAGAACGGCAAGCTGCTTGTCCTGAACCACCCGGGCACCCGGATACAGGCAGCGCAGTGCAAACGTTGGTGATGGGCCCAGTGCAAGATGTGGATGTGGCCAGGCAGAAGAGATCAGACGGGGCTCGAGCTCTTCGAGAAAGAGTTCACTTAGGGGGAAGGAGTGTTGTGTATTGAGTGGTGGTACCATCTGGAAACAGATGCCAAACCTAGAAGACCATGCCACACCGCGCGAACATTGCAAAGCATGCAGTCAACGGCCTACACCAGCCAACAAACCTGTCACGTTGTCATGTAGCCTTTGTATCTTGAGTTAATAAATAGTTAATTGTATCTTGTTGTCATCTACCGGCCAGGATCTAGCAGTGACTATACCTGAAGTGTACTGAAAAAAGTTTGTTAGTTACGGCCTCATTATTTCAGGCACAGTATGATCAGACCGTTTAAAAAAAGTTGGCCCCGAGATATTCGTAGACAGCATGATTAGTACTTGTACCTAACTAATTCAAAAACAACCCTTACCTTTTTTTTTCCAGTTTTCTGTGCACCTGGTTGTATGCGCACTCCGCTGGCGTGTCTACCCAGCGGTACGGCACGATCAATCACGGCCATCGTAGCCGATCGCCATCCACGATGACGAGCCCGTTTGAAGTTCCTCCTCCGAAGTTGTCTCTGATACAGCTCTGCGATAGCATGTGGAGGTCATGGGTGCTTCCTTGCCACTTGGCGACCACCTCACGATCTGCGAGCATATGCCGACCACCAAGAGGACTACCTACTTGTCCGGCGTTGGTTCCGAGGAGCTCCGCTGCTGGTGACCACCTGAAGTGGAGAAATATGTCTGAGATTCGTTCATGACAGACAATAAAAATTCTAGCGCAGTTTCGATTCAAATATATATAGCCACGCCATAATTAACAATTCCTAGCGAAGGTTCATAAACACTGCTATAACGTATCAAGCTACTCGCTATCTTCCAAAATGTTTTGGAACATGACGTCCGTCGGGAGTTGACGCTGACATTTTGAGAAACTGTTTGCTTTTCCGACTGTTTTTTAACACATCATTTTACAAAGGAAGGACTGCCTCGGAACTGTACCTCGGCCAACTCCGTGATCCTCAGGTTGAAAATCGTCTGAACAATAAGACTACGTACTACGCCTTGCTTTCCGTTCATTCTTGAATGGATGGCGCTGCATTTGTGTCAGAAACTGAGCCGCAAAAATAAGTTATAATTATGCCAAACTTATTCACATTTGCCTTTACGAAACAGCACAACAAAACAGTGGTGTTATTGATATTATTTCTTACCTGAGCACTTGCATCAGGACATGGGTGACCAGTCAAGCTCACAGGAAAACAAGCGATTGCGAAACCACCAAACCGAAAACGAAACAGTCGTGGCAGGCTTTCCTGTCGAAGACGTCGATGGCGTAGAAGCAGACTAAACTCGCTTCAACAAAAGCATTCACCCATTAAAAATGACTTGTAGCCGGTGCGTAGTTGCTGGTGGTAGCCACGTCCGACATTTTGTTTTCTCAGGCGGTCTCATCTTGGGTCTCAGCTGAGACCCAACGTAAGACGCCGGTTGAGCCGCTTGCTCGAAACGAAATTGGAACCGTCTCAGCCAAGTCAGGACTTGAGTCCGGTACCTACAACCGAGTGAGCGGTGCCTCGAGAGGGAATCTAGGGGAAACGGAGAAAAACGAAGAATCCGGACGTGGATGTGACACGGGCTCGTCTGCTACGCCGCGGTCGTTTTGGACAGCGACAAACGACGACAGTCTCATAATTACTGCGTCGTGTTTTTCGTGCAAACTGTGGTTATACGTGAAAAGCAACAGCAAGCCGCGGTTCTGGGCGTTGTCTGTCACCACCATCGTCGACGTTGAGTGCGTACGCCGAATAAAGGTGTCCACAGAAATGTCCGTTCGTGCCGATGCATTTTCTAAGAAAAAGGAACAACACTGTACGTCCCTTCAAAGGTAAAGACGAATGTAATTTGGTGCAAAGATAAAAAGTATCAATTGGTGTACGAAATGCAGAAACAAAAACGCGTAATTCGAGAGAAATTTAACAAGATTACAAAAGTTGCTAAAAAGAAAGCACGGCATCTGTTCCATAGAGATCATACATACATCCGTACTGCACTAGCGGGACCAACCGATGCTACGCACGACACAAAAAGTAAAAAAAAAAAAAAAAAAGTTGCAGAACGTAAAATTTTTTAGCTGCAGAGTTGACGCTTTCCACAAGGGCGAGTTTGTTATACATTTGTCTTTACTGCACATAAAAATGAAGCACACATTCTATGTGCTCAATCAATTTTTTTCACTTCTTATTTTCCTGGTTAAATTATAGTAATAGTCAAGAGCTCTGGATTTGAACATCCCTTCTAATTTTCCTGGCTAAATTATAGAAGTTGTCAAGAGTTCTGGATTGAAAACTTTTATTACAAACAAATCAAAACAATGAACGCACTTGCTGCAATCAGACAAAATCCAATGACCCAAGAAAATGTAAAAAGAGCCGTCTTCCACAGGCACAGGACCAGTGAGCTGTCATGTTACTGCTGTTTCTACAAAGATACTAGAATGCAGTATGTGCCATTTGATGCAGACAAGTCTAGCCTTTTGAGGTTGACATGATTGGGGGTTCTAGCAAAGCTAACATTGATTTCATAACTGTATCTTGGGTATGCAAATACTAAATACTGGGCCCACTCTAGGAAACATTCCAGCAAGTTCTCTCCAAAGCAAGAAGGATCTGTGCACATCCAAGAACACTGAAACATTGAGCCATGTCATTTCAGTTAAAAGTCAAAATCGGTATTTTTTAATGAAAAAACACTGCACTTATTAATAGAAGAATTAATCTTGTACACTGCTCAAGTGCTAGAAGGTACATTTTAAAAAGGAGTTAAGCAATGCAAACAATACAAAGGTTATTGTGTTTCCATTGCACCATCACCACAAAATACACAGGCTAGAAGCTTATGAAGTAAAGCCGAAACATGGCAAGCAGTAACATGAATTTGATGTTTTATGCCGAAAACTCTACATCTCCGTAGGTCCAAAGGCGACAAACACAACACTTCGACCTCATTTCCTTTGGGACCCATTTTCTTTGGGTCCATTGTATTGAGATGCCAAGTCAAACGAGTGCAAACACAAAGCTGAGAGTCTGTTACATAAATATGTATGTGCAGGTGCTTTTACCCATCTAGCTCATTTTACAGGTAGTATTCACTGGCGGCCATAGCTGAGCTCGCAGCTGCGGAGCACATATACTGACGGCAAGCTTCCACAGCACCTGCAACATGCACATTGCCCACATGAAGAATGTCTTTTAGAGTGCAGCTCTTAGGCGTGCGTCTCCGGAGTGAGTGGTGCCGGTGTTGGCCTAACTGCACGTTACATTGGGACGTTTCCCATAATGACATCCCATGTGACGTCACTAGGGTCACGAGTGACGTCAGAAAGGTCACTTGTGAAGGTCATGAGGGAGGAGGGAGGGGGAGGGAAGGGGTGGAGGGAGGATGGAGGGGAGGAGGGGCATACCTGTTGGTATGTAATGGACCGTTATCGGATGGCGACACGAATCCAGCGCTAAGGTCGTGCAGCCGTTCCCCTTCTGTTTGCATTTTCCCCCCTCTCTTCCCGCTTGATGAACAAGATGGCAGCTTGACAGCTGTATGTCGTTTCTTCATCCCCAAATCCACTCGATCCGCGTCCCAGAAATGTGGTCACACTGTGCACTTAAGATAAACAAACAGGTTATGGGCCCAGGACGACACATCGACCATTATTTCGGAAAAGGGGTCACCTTTAATGAGTGATGAAAAGGTACGACCACATTGAAGAAAAAACTGTCAAGCAACACCGTCATCGCTACGTCGTGCCGATGCCTGAAGAAGATTAGACGAGCATGAGTGTAGTGAAACTGTCAAGGACGAAGTGACTGACAAGCGGTGTGTGCCCGTCAAGAAAGTAAAAGGTGGCGCGTTCTTCATCAGACGGATGGAGCGTCGCCGGACACCGGTCTCGCTGCGGACTCCATGGGGTGTTATGTTCGGAAGACGTCTACACACACCAAGCGTGGGTACAGCGAAGTTGTCGGTAAGAAGTGACCTTTGCGCTTTCCGAGCAGGACGGATCACCGTGCGACACCTGTGGCTGTCGGAAAGAAGTACTGACATCGGTTCGGTGCGTGCCAGTGATGAAAGTGTCGGGAAGAAGTGACTGACACGCCAGTGACGAATTTCTCGGCAAAGAAGTGAACGAAGGAGAACTGCGTCGACGGTTCGTGGAAGACGTCGTCAAACCTGTACATGTGTTCCTGCTTCGCTGGGTGCCACAAGACGTGCAACAAGAACCCAACGCAAGTTCATCGCTGTAAGCCTACTTCGAACCGCTCTCGACAAAGCAAAGCGATAGGATGGCGGCGCTGGATGAATTCAAAATATCAAAACTCTCAAACGAAAATTACCATGCGTGGGCGATTTGAGCCAGAGCGGCATTCGTCCAGAAAGGCTGTTGGAAAGCCATGGAGCCTGGCTATGGTGGGAGAGAAGTGATGAACGACGAGAGGAAGAACACCAAGGCTTTGACATTCATGTTCCTAGTAGTGGAAGACACCTGCCTGGACGACATTGGGGAATGTTTGACAGCTCGTGAGGCCTGGAATACATTGGAAGAGATACATTTAAAGTGTGGGCTACTGCATGCTCTTCAGTTGATGGGAGACTTCTCCAGCACCAGAATGGAGCCAGATGAAACCATGAAGGATTACCTGGATTGAATAATGAACCTACAGAGGAAGCTTTAAACGGCAGGATACGCCTTCACTGACAGGGAAGTGGCACTGGTGATGCTGATGGGCTTGCCAGAAACGTATGAATCACTTATCCTAAATCTTGAGCAAGACGAAGGAACGCTCACGACGAAGAAGGTGAAAGCAAGGCTGCTGGTAGAAGAAAAGCGCCAAGTCAAACGTGAAAAAGACAAACTAAATGAGAGTGAAGAAAACAAGGCCCTCATGACAAAGAACAAGCCATTATGAGGAGCAGTCAGCTCCACAAACGTAACGGGCAAGAACATTTTTCAAGGAAAGCAGCAACTGGCACTGGTACAAGCTGCTTTGAACCGAAACAATGAGTTCGGTGCGGAAAATTTGGACACATTGCCAGGGAATGCAAGGAGGGTCCCGATGACGAAGGATGCGGCTCAAAGAGAAGACGAAATTCCAGTGAACCGAAGAAGGCGCTCTGTGCCAGAGGTGGAAGTTCCTCAGGGTCACACATCTGGTACCTTGGCAGTGGAGCAATTGACCACATGACGTCAAACAGAGCCAAATTCACCACTTTCAAGCCCTGCTGTTCGACTGTTGAGGCAGCAAATAAGGAGGTCATGGAAGTCGTCGGGAGAGGACAGGTAAAGATTGAACTTTCGAAAGACTGCGGTGGCACTGTCGTCGAGCTCCAAGATGTCCTCTACGTACCAAGCTTAGACGGTAACCTCTTGTCAGTTGGGAAGATTGAGGAACGTGGACTGAGCGTGACTTTCAGCAATGGAAAAGCTAAAGTGATTGAAGCAAATGGTGACCTTATTGTCGTAGCCAAGTGCGATGGTAAATTGTACACTGAGAGTAAGTCGCTTGCAACATTGAAGTTAGCAAAGGCGACAGACGTCGCCCTGTAGCATCGACGACTCGGTCATCTCCACCATGAAGCTGTCGAGAAACTTTGCCAAAGTGGTAGAAGCAGTCAAGATGCAAAGTGCTCGACATGTGCACTCGGCAAATTGAAGAAAAGCAGCTTCCGAAGAAGGGTGGAACAAAGGCTAAGGCCCCACTGGAGCTGGTTCACTCGGATGTAGTTGGAAAGATCACACCTGCCTCGAAGGGAGGGTCGAACTACTTTGTCACATCCATTGATGACTACTCCAGATTCACTGTAGTGTACCCAATGAAGACGAAGAATAAAGTGCTGGACAGATTCGACCAGTACAGACGAATGGTCGAGATTCTCCACAACACGAAGGTGAAGACTTTGCGTAGTGACAATGGAGGAGAGTACACAAGCAAAGAGTTTGATGAGTACCTGGCCAAGCATGGCATAAAGCGTCGGCTCACCA